ATCAATTCTAATGCATGAAAATAGGTTTTATAAAGATTTTCCCAAAAAGTAAAAAATCGACCCGGACCCGCTTGGTCCAAACCCGAAATTCGGACCAAAACCCGATTACTCATTCCCCCACGAGCTCAAATATGTAATTTGTTTTGAAATCAGACCTCAAATCGAGGTCCAAATCCTCATTTTTGTGAAAACCAAGGTTCTACCCAAAACACCCAATTTTCCCCATGAAAATAATTGATTTGAAGTTGAAATCATGTTAAAAGATGTTAATGATTGAAGAAAACTAGTTAAAAATGATTTACAATTGATTTGGAGAAGAAAGGTTATTTGAAAAATCGCCTCTTATGTTTTTGGGGTTTTGAAAAGTGAAAAATAACCGAAAAGTCCGTTTAAATATACTCCTTTCAGACCCTCTCCGCGGACCGCATAAAAAAGACTGCGGCCGCAGAGTTTCCACTGCGGACCGCGAGACCTGGCTTCAGAGACTTGCAACTTCTATGAATCTGCAACTTTTTCCTAAGTTCAAAACTTGCCGAAACACATCCGAAACACACTCGAGCCCTCGGGGCTCCTAACCAAACACACGTACTAACTCAACAACATCATACGAACTTATCCGTGCGATCAAATCGCCAAAATAACCTCAATAACAATGAATCAAACCTCAAAATCAAGAACTTTTTCTCAAACTTCATCAAGTATCAAATTTAGCAATTTAGGTCCGAATTACGTCAAACGACGTCCGTTTTCGACCAAACTTTACAGAAATGACTTAAACCATATATAAGACCTGTACCGGACGCCGAAACCAAAATACGGGCCCGATACCATCTCTTTCTAATCAAACTTCATTTCAAATTTCCTTAAAAATTTTCAGAAAACAACTTCCTTTAAAAATTCATTTCTCGGGCTCGGGAACTCGGAATTCGATTTCGGGCATACGCCCAAATCCCATATTTTCCTACGGACCCTCTAGGATGGTCAAATCACGGATCCGGGTCCGTTTACCCAAAATGTTGACCGAAGTCAAATTTATTCATTTTATAGTCAAAACTTATCATTTTTCACAAAATTTCATATTTAATCTTTCCAGCTACGCTCCCGGACTACGCACGCAAATCGAAGTGACACTAAATGAGATTTTCAAGGTCTTAGAATACGGAAGTTTCGTTTTAAAATAAGTGATGACCTTTTGGGTCATCACATCTACATTCCCTTGAGATATGTTATGGCATGAAAAGTTAATTATTAATAGGACAAAATTTTAATAAAAGTTTTAGTAAACAAAACAATTATGTAAATGATTTGACAGTTCGGACAAAAACTTCAGCTCTAGAGCTGAAGTTCGCCAGTTACAAAACAAAAACACAAAAATAAAAACTTCAGCTCTAGAGCTTAAGTTCGCCAGTTACAAAACAAAAACTTCAGCTCTTGAGCTGAACTTCAGGCCTAGCTACTAGAATGCTGAAGTTTTGCATGATTGTCTTTGCTACTTCAGCCCCGTATGCTAAAGTTATGCAAAAAAGTGGGTGCGCTTGTAATTTTTTTTGCAAAGCGGGCACAAGTTAAAACGTGACACAAAAAGCGGGTATAGATGCAAATCCTCCCACTAATTAATCTACGTGGTTGAGATTTCATCGAATTACACTCTAAAATTTACAAAATCAACATATTAGAATATCCAACTTTGGTTGAATGAGATCAACCATACAAAACATTAGAAACTGCCACATTCAAGAACACCTAAATGTTTGCTAACTAACCAACCAAAGAATTTCTTTTCACTTCAAGTCTTTATACAAACATCAAACTCCAGCTAAAGTATCTTCAAACAAATCAAATATTGAAAGGGGTTGCATGATATATAAAATGTACAAACTGTGGCTCTCTAGATACGTATATCGTATGAGAAATATGAGATAAACCAACGAGGAAATAAGAAAAACAGGAAAAAGGAACTTTCAAACTATTACTCCCGTTGTTTACTTTTACTTGTAGTATTCTAAAAATAGATTTTCACTTTTACTTGTCACTTTTAGCATATTAAGAGAAGACAATTTCTTTTTTCTAGTTATACCTATAGTATTAATTATTCATTTCAAATTATTTTCTCAAATCCATTAAAAATATGTATCAATTAATATGAGTATCATAGTAAATTATGTACTTCATTTATTATCTTTTAAGGGGATGTGCAAAGTCCATAGTGAACAAGTAAAAGTAAACGGAGGGAGTATTTTGTACCTCTTGAATTTAATTTCTGTGAATTGTACTTCCAAACGGCTCCATGAATGTGATTCTTGCTGGAATTTACGTGTGCGCGTCATTCACAAGTCCTGATTTACATGGTATTCAAAATTAATGAAACAAACTTTTTAATCAGGGGAGAGCAGAATTCATTTTCATTGATCTCATTCGATCTAGCTTTATTTTCTAGTTTCATTGTATGTTTTCTAGGACAAAGCTCATAAGAATAAGAGGCCTCTACTACATGAAACTGTTAGAAAACATGGGAATTGTAAAAGCTAACTCTTAAATGGTCATACATGTATGAAAAATTAAAAGAAATTAATACATGATAAATGAAAAGGCATTACAATCATTAAATCAAATACATAAATTATGTCTTCTCATCACCTAGACGTTTATTGTGGTCCAATTTTATTATTTGTTGGAAGATAATTTACTTTTTAGTCCAAGGATATTAAAGTGAGATTTACGCTTTCAAGGTTAATACATAAGAGGATTTCAAATCGAATCGGAAAACCGCACTAAATCGAAAAATCAAACCAAACCGATTAAAAAACCCGACTAGGTTTGGTTTGACTTGGTTTGGTATTGAGTAAAAAAACCCAAACCAAACCGACATATAAATATATAAATTTTATTTATATTTTTAAGACTTTATAGTGATTTTTCTTTAGAAAATGTAGAAATATTTGGGATCCTCTCATGTATTAACCTTGAAAGCGTAAAATCACAAAAAATTATTGTTAGACGACTAAGAAAATAACTATCATGTATTACTAAAAAAATTCTCCTATTAGAATATTCTAATAGATCATATGTTTGTCAATTTTTTCCATATTTACTAAACATATATTCACTTATCAAAGCTTTATCTATAATTTTAACAAAGTAAGATTGAAATAATATTCATGTAACAAAAAACCCCGAAAACCCGAAAAACCCGACAAAACCAGACCAATCCAAACCGATATAGTTGGTTTGGTTTGGTTTTGATAAAAACCGAACCAAGTTGGTCCATATACACCCCTAGGTAAAATAGTTATTTGATTTTTGTTGGGTATTTTGGTAATTCAACTTTTGCATTAGGAACTTCCTACTTTTAGTATAGTATGACATGATATGATATGATGATTATCAAATATATGTGCAAAAAATGGGTGCTTCTCTGCAAAGGCGGATCCAGGATTTAGATTATGTGGGTTCAACTTTTAAAGCTTTTAGCATTGAAGCCNATATATATATCTATAAAAGTGGGCAATAAGAAAGTGAGGTGGCACCTCTCTTAGGCCAAGAAACATATTTATCTTTTTTTTCCCTTTTTTTGGGATTTTTCATCATTCTTTCAATTTATTTTATAATAAAATTAAAAAATTTATTTTCATAACTCACAACTCTTTATCGTCATAACCTATACTTTTAATAGTCTCAATAACTCCAATCCCTTTCATATTCATAACCTCCAAAAATTTAATGTGTAAGTTTATAATAACATATCTCATTTTTTTAATCTTCCCCTTTATTTCTCTCATTTTCATAACTCATACTACCTTAACGTCTACTTTTAATAATATCCATAATTCTCATTTTTTTCATATTCATAACCGCTAAATATTTAATTTAAAAATTAAAATGCCTTATGGTATTCATCTATTTTTCCTATATAAATTCATAACTTTGTTTCATGAGACCCCTACCCAAGACTACCCTTTCTATTCTTTACCTGAAATAGCAATGTTATCATATTTACTGTAACATTCGATTCATATTTTAGTTTGGCTTGAAGAAGAAGGCTCTTGAATAATGATCGATATTGTGGGAGGGAGTGTCGACAAGAACACGAAAAATTATACGCTGATTTTGCATTTCTATTTTCTTAAGATTAAAGTCTCATGTTGTATCTTTTTCTTCTCTATTTACTTTCTCATGTGTTCTCTTTCGCTTTATTTTATATGAACTTTTGTTTGTCGCAAGTTTGTATTTTCGTTTAGACTCAAATTAATTACTTATGAGTTAAACTTTGTTTAAATTCTGCTAACTACTAACCAATAACAACTCATTATGTAAAAGGGATAAATTTTAAACGTTCAAATACGCCATTCATTGGATATTTTGACAACACTTCTTATTTCTTTTAGCGAGTAAAAAGTGTTATAGCTAAAAGTCACAGAGCAGACACAGGTTCTTCTTTGCCGAGCCATCGGCATATGTTGTTTCTTGTAAAATAGAAATTATTTTCTACTTCATTTCTACTTGTGATTTTTATAAAGTAAGTAGTTATTTTATTCGTATGATTGGAACATGTATTATACGTACGACAAAATTTAAATTATTTGGTTTAATTTATAACTTTTGATTCTTTTGAAGTATTGTAATAATTATCTTTCTTTTTGCAAATTATGTTTTGATCTCTTCTTTGAATTGCCTATAATTTGTAAACCAAAAAAAAAACTTTTTCATTTTGCTGAGAGGATAAAAATAATTGAGCAAGTATTCTGAAGTGACGTATTCCGTTCTCCTTGGAATGGAGAATATGAGAGGGAAACTAATGAATAGAAAAGAAAAGACAAAGATGAAGGCTAAAAATGGCATAACAAGAAGGAATAGAAAAAAGAATAATCAAATGATTCAAGACTTGAACTGAAAGAGACTCTACAAACAAAGCTTTCCGACTCAGCCTTGAGAAGCTTGTATCCTTTGGATTCTTGAAACCTAATAAGCCAGAACAGCTCTCTTTCAGGATCAGTCTCGTCCCTAAATGTAGTAGTCAATCAGCAGGACATTCAAAGAAGCTATGCACCTTCACTGCATGTTAATGAAAGAAAGCCCTTTCATCCTAATCTCATCTACTGAAAAGGGGGCCGGGCGTAGCACGACGTTACAATTTTCACATATTTTTTTTGTTTTATTTTATTTTCTTTTCATTAGTAGTTGCTTTACTTTTATTTCATATTTCTGTTATTTGAATATGAGAAATTTTAGCAAAGTCGATGTTTTACTATCTAATGAAAAAATAATCGATTTACATGCCTCTAACATATAATTGTACTTAAAAAGTCATGTATCAACCTCTCACTTTCTCTTCATTTATTATAATATATGTAAGTGAAATTTTGTTCTTAAAAACTCTTTCTCTTCTCTTTTCTTTTAAAAACAAAATCAGGAAAAAATGCAGTAACCTAAAATCTAATTCTAATTAAAATGCTAAGTATATGATTTATCAATATGTAGAATTATCTTTTACATCCATATTAATTTAAAAAATTATCTTTCTCATTTCTTATATGTCGTTATTTTTCTTTCTTTCCTTTTTTTTTTTTTAATTTAGTGATAGTTTTTTTAACCGCAACAAAAATATTGGGTTCAGATGAACCCGACAGACATACTCTACCTCCGCATCTGCTTCTCTGTGTGTAATTTCTTTAAGTTTATTTCCTTTGCTTTTCCTTATTTCTATCATGCCCACTCTCTCTCATCTTTTTCCTGCAAACGAAAATTGTGAAAAGCCATTTAGATCAGAGAAGCTTAAGATAAGCAGTGAAAAATCTCAAAAAAATTAGGACTTCACATTAGATATTTTGCACCAAGAGTAAAGAGGCCGGTTTGTACTAATCATATCAGTTCGGATTTCTTGATTATATATGTCATTTTACTAATTTTCCTTAATTTAATTGCCTTTGTTGAGTATTACTTCTATAAGGTTGAATTGAAAAAGGAAAAAGAAAAAAAAATACAACACAACACAAAACAAAAGAAAGAAGAGAGTTGATGTGACAAAGCATAAGAGGAAACTAAAGAATGAATGACTAAACCTTAGGAAACGCATGGACAATACAAATGCTACAAATACCGTGTGAATGCGTCATTTGAGGCAGTGTCTGACCCGTGACTCACTCTTTGCTTCATAATTTTCTGATTGTTGTTTCTGCTCTTTGGCCTCATTTACCAAACAAAATTTCCTACTACTTTTTTCCTTCAACCCCCAATTTTCGGCGAGTTCCTCTCTTTCTATTTCTGCGGTACCAAAAGCAACAGTTGGCAATTTGTACTGAGCAAAGAATGTATTGCCACGTGGGGCACCTAAAACTGTTTGGGGAGCAAAGCCATGTCATCCTAGCACTGTGATACCCACACCACATCAGCCTCAATTTTACGTACCAATGCTTCCTTGGCTTTATTCTCTTTTGTGTGGGCTAAGGTAAGGGGACTTTAAAATGTGCAGAACATTAGTTATTACTGAATGTGCATGGCTTGTTATTTTCGTTAGGGGTTTAGCTTGCATTTGGACATAGATTTAGTTGAAACTTGGAAAAAAAGTTTTTGAGTTGTATTCGAAAATAAATTTTGGAAGTTGATATTGTGTTTGGACATGCATTTTATTTGAAAAAACTTGAAGATTTAGAGTGGAAGAAAAAATTCGCCCAAAAAATGCTATAACCCAAATTTTGGGAACTTGTAAAAATATTTCAAAAACTGATCATATTTTATGAACAAACAGTGTTTTCAAAAAATTTTAAAATTTTTTTTGCCAAATTTATGACCAAACAAGTAAGCTCATTAAGAATGTATGTTTTTCTTATTAAAAGGTTAGACATTTTCAAAACTCGAATTCGAAACTTCTCAAATAATGGAAGAATTCTAACGATTTCACCGCACCTTTGCTGGTATAGTTACTCTACATATACTAACTAACTGCTTTCCATTGTTCAAAAGTTGATGGTCTGATGTTACAACTCCCAAATGTACTCGGAGATTCGAGGATTCAGAATTCAAAATTTATGGATGTCTAACGGGCCGAGTCAGCCCGTTTTCGGATCGGTCCAATCCGGTTAAAACCGGAACTGGCCAGGACCGATACAAGGGGGCCAGGTGAGGCTGGATTAAAGGGGTAGGGGCCCGGACCGACCCAGATCGGTTAACGGGTAATNTTTTTTTTTTTTGAAATTGTTGATTGAGCAACCCATGTTAACCGTTGGCAACGGTCGCCTGCCAAGGAGTCGTTGCCCAACGACTGATTTGCACAATTAGCCCTTTTTGGGCCTTTTTTTTTTTAAAAATTAACACTTTTGTAATTACAAATTTAATCCTTTGAAAAACTATAAATACACCCCCCTTTCGTTTCTTCACTCATCTCTTATTTCTCAAACTCAAATTCTCAATTCAAGTTAAATCATGCCTCGTACTTCTAGAGTGCACTCATATGTTTGGGAACACTTTAAGGTGGTAGTAGAAAATGAAGTAGTTCAGAAAGTAAAGTGCAAGAACTGTGGTCGAGTCTTAAATCTTCGTCCAAAGTGTGGCACAGGCAGTTTAAGGAGGCTTATGAAGAGTTATCTTGAGCGTCCTACGGAAATTCGTATTTAAGTTGATTTGAGACAACTTGTGTTATTTTAAAATTATTAGACGTATTTATGCTTAATGTTTTAGTTTGTTAGATTAATTTGAAGTATTATTATGCATGAAAATTTAGTTTTAATCTTTTTTTTGTTAATTTACTTGTTAAATGCAAACTTCAGTTTTGTAATTTTGAAATAAATGTAGCCCTTGCAATTTATAAGTGCAATTTTTTCCCATCTTCATTGTATTCTTTATATTTTTACTTTATATTAATATAACTTACAATAGTTATACAAAATACAAAAAAGAAATAAAAAATTACACTAACCCGGCCTGGACCAATTTATTTTTTACCCGGATGAATCCGAACCCGTTAAATCCGGTAAGCCCCAACCCATAACCGGCCCGGATCCCAACCCGTACGGTTCCTAAATTATCCTACCCAGTCCGGCCTAGCTCACCCGTTAGACACCGTATTTCAAATCTTATGATGCTGACTTTGCTATAACTATGTTGAATTTCCACCTCAACCAATTAATACAAAGTCGTCTTCTCTTTCGTAGTAACGGTTTAAATTTTTTTATAAATCAACAAATAACGTAATTCAAGGAGCTCAATCATTAGTTCTTCAGGGCTTGCCCCCCTGCTTTCAGAACCAACCACATGACTTTACTTCTGAGCAAATGCCTGAACTGAGCGCTTGCAAGCCAATAATTGCATAATCTTTATTTACTTTTAGCTACTATTTAGGTATGGAGATCGTAAATAGAGATGGCAGACTGATAAGTTATGTGTATTTTGTTTTGATGATTTGACAAACTTCATGAGAGAACCAGATAAGGAACCTAAAACAATTAGTTACTTTGTGTTTAGAGTAACTAGCTAGTCAGATTTCTGGTTCAACTCTTAATGAAATCATTTAAGGGAACAACAGAGAGAACAGATAGGGATCGGTTCCTCAGGTCACAGTACACAAATCAACTCTAACAATTGTTAAAGTTATTGCACTGTACACGCAACAGTACAACAACACTGTTGAAGCGTGCAGTGTACTGGACACTCTATTGCATCATCTTTGATGACCTTACCACACATATTATCAAGACGAGGCAAGGGATTTTGTTCTCTAACATTTGCAAATCTAAAATCATATTCTCTCAAGTGCTAGCCACCATCTCTCTCAAGAATAAAGTTGCTGGAACCTCAAGGACCATATCCAGATATTGAAGATATCTTAAGTCCTTAGGTTTGTTGAATCTTTGTTATTTTGCTCTTCATTTGTAATCCTACACTACTTTCAAGAAGTGTCTTTGTAGAACAAATTTAAATCATTGTTTGGTTTAGTTTCTTGGCTAGAGTTAGTCAAATTTTGTTGCTTTGTAATAGAGTTATTGCACAGACCTTGTAATAGATTTATTGTAAGGGGTGAAGGATTAATAGTTTAATTCCTAGATTGCAATATATTGTAATTTGAAATTTGCTCCATTTAGTGGAGTTGAAATCCTACGAGGGTATGTCATGATTTTTAATCCCTTGAGTAAGGAGTTTTTCACGTAAATATCGCGTGTTTTTTATTTATTGCCTATTTAGTATGGGAACAGATAGAGAACCTGGTACCCTATACTGTTTAGTTTTACAGTATCTTGCTTACTGTGGGAACTAATAAAGGACGTAGTTATCTATACATTTTGGTGGACTATTAGTTTCTATCACATACTGATGGATCGAGTCGAGTCGGTCGGATATGGGAGGGTCAAAAATGGATAATGTAAAACAAATAAATTATCCGACTCAGCTAGTATTTAACACGAATAAAAAATGGGTTAACCGTGATAAATCTGACATGACGTATCTCACTCGAAGATTTCAAAGATAATTCGTAGAAATGGTGGGATTCCAAAGAAAGGAAGTTCTAGCAGGAACTTCAAAGGAAATGATTGTTGTCATAAGTGTGGAAAACCTAGACACTTCATTAAAGAATGTCCTCTTTATAAGCAGGATCATTACAAAACCAACACTGAAAAGATGGCTAAGAGGAACCAGATCCCTGATAAAAAGTTCAAAAGAAGAGATGTTGCTAACAATATGGTAAAGCAAGCCCTGGTTGCCTGAGGAGATTCCTCCAGTGAATCTGAAGGTGAAAATGACCAAGGAGATACATCTATGATGGTTGTTGACAATGGATCTTCAAAATATGAGTCAATATTTGCATTCATGGCCAAATCTGATGATGATAATGAGGACAAGGAGGAAGATGAGATTAGTTTTCTTGATGTTCAAAGATATTTAAACACTTACACTAAGAAAAAATTGATGTCCTTAGCAAATGTACTAATTGATGTCTATCATAGCCTCATTAATAAGAAAAATATTTTAATTGAAGAAATGGGTGACATAGAACAAGAGAGGGATGATATGGAAGTTTTCATTGTATGCTTGAATGAACAAGTGAAAGAAGTAAATAGAGAAAATACCTTGTTGAAAACTAAATGAAAAAAATAGACGGACACCCCTAAGGGTAAAGAAGTGGTTAGTGAGGCTTAACTTGAGCTTGAGAGTGATCTTAAGAAAGTTAAAACAAGTCTTGTTGTCGAGCTTGAAAAGGATAGACTTATTGTAGTTAAACTGGTCATTACAATGGCTCTTGTAAAGTTAAAATTCAGTCTTTACAGAAAAATAATTTTTGTTGAAAATAAGCATACTGTTGAGGAGCCCGTTCCTCTAAAAGGAAAATATGTGTTGCCTGCATAGATAAAAAGAAGTTTGATCCGCTCATTCTATCATTGTAAGGGACCCAAGCTGGTTTGGGTTCCTAAGTCTAATCAATGATTCGTGTGCAGGCTGTAGTGAGAGGTAGCAGTCAAATAATGGTACATAGATAACGGCTATTCCACGCATATGACTGAAAGAATGGATGATTTCCTCTCACTCTTGGCCTTCCAAGATGGGAGTGTATCATTTGAAAAAGGCAAGAAAGCTATATTTTTGGTGTTGGAAAAATTATCAAAAAACACTCTCCCATGTAATTGAAAATGTGTACTATATGAATGGCTTGAAATATAGCTTGTTGAACGTGTCTCAAATCTGTGATAAGGGAAAATAAAGTGAATTTCTTATTCAAATCTTGCATTGTCACCAATCTCAAAACTGGTGAAGTGGTGGAGATAGCCAAAAGGTTCAAAAACATATATGCTTTAGACTATGATTCACTGAATGGTGGTGATCTTACATGCCTAAGTGTCATTGATGATGATGTTGAGTTATGGAACAGACGACTGGGGCATGCGAGTTTTTATATGATGAACAAGTTGGTTGTGAAGGACCTAGTTCGTGGGTTGAAGAAGTCAACACTGCCTGCTACTTGATTAACAAGTGCATGATCAGGTCCCTACTTGAGAAGCCTCCCTATGAACTACTCAATGGGAGAAAATCCAAGCTGACTTACCTAAAAGCCTTTGGATGCAAACGTTTCATTATCAACAATGGTAAGAAGACTTTGGAAAAATTTGATGTAAAAAGTAATGAGGAAATTTTTCTCGGTTACTTCTCTCAAGCAAGGCATA